ACCGCGAACCAAGTCCTCCCTTGATGCTTTCGGTCCTAGCGGCCCAAAGCCCACTTCCAAGCCCACCGAGTCGTAGCCCGACATCTTGGCATTCCTGTATAACACTGCGATCTCCTGGGCCGTAGGTATAGGTAACAGGTCGAGGTAGGATTGGGTCGGGCCAAACCATGGCCAGCACGTACCATCCCTCTCGGCGGACAGGATCTGTCATCGTTGCTGCCGTCCCCGGTCTCCTCGTGTGCTGCCTTAACTACCGTCTCCACCGGCGCATCAATCACCGTGGAGAGGGCTTCGGTCCTGCACTCGGCGTGTCCTCTCTGGTCTTCTGTGGTGGCGCAGACAGCCCCAGCAAAGCCATCGCTTTCTTCATCAACTCCATCAATGATCTCAGATTGTCGTTGTTCCTCTTGGTCATCTCTTGGAGATTTTCATTCACCTCTCCCATGCAAACGTGATCCGCCATCGTTCTCAGCAGCCCTTTGATAACCTCCTCAAGAGTGATATCATCCACGGTCACCATATCTTCTAGCCTCTTTGCTGGTGATTGTTCCATTGCGCTTGTTCTTCTACCAGTCCAGAGCCAACCAGGCTCTGATACCACTGTAAAGAAACCTCAGATCTGGGCGTCTTACATCTAGGGTTCTACAAACAGGATCGATAGGAAATTGGGGATTAGGGATGGATTTAGGATAGATATGAGGAAAGAGAGGGAAATTTGGGAAAGAAGGGAGGAGAGGGTCGGCGGCCATGGGTGGTCGACGATGATGATGGAGACGAGAGAGAGAGAGCAAGCTCGGCCGAGAATTAGAGTTTTGGGAAATTCTATTATGTATTTGCTTGATGAGAAAATACATGTTAATTACAAAACATATAGTCCAAATAATTCCCACTAACTACCCAGAATAATACATTCTAACATAAATAATCAAATAAACCCAAATATGCCCAAAAACCCACAAAATAATCTCCAAAATCACTAACATAAATAAAACAAAAAAATCCAAATACCGAAATCACAAAAAAAAAATAGTTTTCTATCCTAAAGTCCCCCATGAAAAATAACGGAAGAACAAAAGACGAAAGCAAATATAGAATTTCATTTTATTGAAATTATTGAATTCCTTCATCACAATTCAGATGCATGAACATCACTACAAAGAAGCCAAGGGAAACTTCACTCGACTACACAATGAAGGGATAAATAGAAAGAACTGTAAAAGCAATAGAATCATTTTGTGCTACGGCTAACCCAACACCTCGATTGATACAACATTATGGAGGCAAGACTTCTTATACCCTAGACTCGATAACTTTTCCTTAACAAAGTCGTCATCACGCTTAATTTGTTTCACTAAGAAATAAAAGACACGAGAGAAACGTAAAATGACTCCACCAAGATTCGGAATGGTCAAGGTAGAACCCAACCCTCGACAATTCCAGGACAGAAAACTCATAAATGGGATTGGGACCAGTTGGGGTTAGTTTCCTCCACTCTAATGTTACCACTAACAAAACCTCCAAACCCTGAATCATATATCTTAGCATGTTTAGAGGATGGATTCCGATTACTTTTCATTGCCTCACCATCCATACCCGCCATCATCTCCATGGCCAACTGAGTCTGAGAGCAAACCTGCTCTATTCCTGGCCGATTAATGTCCCAATGTCACATCCAGAGTCGATGATTATTAATTCAACTATAGACCATTGGTAATCAATACTTGAGTGACTTTTCCTTAACTGAACTTCAATCAATTTACTTACTACTTTGTTAATTCATAATTGTTTGTTGCATTCATCATGAACCTAAAGTGCTAGATAATAAACTTAGTATGAGTAATAGTACATCTAGGGACCCGAGTATTCGATATTAAAATATGCGCCACTATATTGCAGTTCCTTCCATTCGTTATACTTGGTCTTTGTTAGGAATATTAGTCAGTAGCGACCGGCGTTCATCTTAATTCAGGACATGTTGTGGCAAAACTAGCTTGATTAGAGATCACACAAGATGCTTCTTGACAACATTCGCTTTGAACTTGGGTGCTTGATGCATGACCCACACAGAATTTAGGGATGTTGTTGAGGGACTTCAACTGGTTTGAACATGAGATTTTATCTTGTCAAAATCGAGTTTGACTTTAGGTGTGCCATGCAAATCCTTCATAACAAGAATCATTATGATCATCAGCATGATGTCATCATTCAAATATTCGAAGCCTTACTTATTCTAGACTCTGGAGTAGAAGGTGTCGATTTCTCATTTATATTGCAAGAGCAATAGGTGTGTAGATTACCTTGTAAGAATTAAATCTAACATAGATAATTTTCCCAAAAATTCATCTTGTTGCATTATCAAAGGTTGATAGAGTTACCTGAATTTCATATGTAGATGCGGAATATTGGACGATCTATAACTGGACGATGCCTCATAGTGCACGACCCATGATGTTCTGTAGTCTTCCTCAACCAAGCCTCCTCAGTTCCTCTTACGGGATTATCTCTCATCTTTTTTATGGGGAGAAGATGGAACTATGTATGGTATTGGTGTATTGGGAATCACAGATCACAACCTCAATCTCCTTACAGACTAATTCATCTTGGGCTCCCATAACACCCAATGTGAATAGTATGTGGGTTTCCACTCATTGAGTCCATATTGGATTTTATTAGTATTGGGCTCATTATTTGGATCACTTATAATTACCCATAACCAAATAGCTAACATATAATTGTATATATAAAATATGTGGTCCACAATTATTATTAGGAATAAAATTTTGGCAAAATTCACTTTCATAGCCATAACTTTGCACTTTGTGACAAATATAGCCAGATTCTTATAAATACACGGAAATAGCCAAAAATTTGAAAATGCGTTGACAATTATAGCCATTTTTGTTATTAAATGTGACGTCGTTAGGGATGCCATTAGTTACATGTTCGCGTCGCATAGGTGGCCGAATTATGGACTCCACATCGACGCCAACTGGACTAGATTTGCCACCGCCGCGCCACGTCATCCTGGGGAGAGAGAACCGATTAATTGCCAAGCGACTTCTCCTCCATCTAATTTTCGATTTCATCTTCCTCCCTGAAAAAGCCTGGTCTAAAACAGCTTCTGCCTCAAAATCGGGAGCTACATTTCCAACAAGAGGAAGCTCACTCTGTAAACAGAACGCGCAACATACAAATAGAAGAGCAATTAACCAGCTGAAATTACAGCAAAATTCGATATGGGAATATGGAAAGGAACCCCAATTAATTTAACAGACGAAAGAAATTGATTAGGAGGGGGTGAGAGAATCATATAGTGGCTTTGACGATGAAGCTCTTCCTGAGGGCGAGGTTAGCGGAGGAGCGAGCATTGGCGAAGGCGGAGGATTGGAAGAGGGGCTTGCGGAGGCCGAAAAAGGAGTTGGGAAGAGGGGCTAGGGTTTTGGAAGGTTTAGATAAGGGAGAGGCCATGGATTTGGTGGCCGGGATGGAGGAGATAAGAGCGGTGGTGGTAGCTGAGCACGCCATGGTGTTTTGCCGGCGGGAGGTTCCCACCAAAACGGATTAGGGTTCGAGCTTCTTTCTTCTGGGTTTTTTGCCGAAATCGATAGTTTCGACCTTCGTCGAGAAAGATCGATACAGTCGACTCTTCATCTTCACCGTCGACGACTGGAAGCGACGTCCCAGCTTGCTATTAATCTGCAGGATGGTGAATGGCCACCTCTGTGTTCGTCAATTGAGATGGGTACGGAGGGAAGTTCGAGGACCAGATGATAGAGGCGAGAGGCGAAAGGATCCGTCGACGGAGGCGAGATGACCGGATGATTGTGTTGGTCAATTCACAGTCACCAGCGAAGAGAATCGAGGTGAGAGTGGGGATTTAGGGTTTCTGCTGGGTCTTCTGCGAAGAGGAATGAAGAAGAACGAATGGGGCGGAGAGTGAATATGAAAAGGTAAAAATTTGGTAAAGTAGGGTAATTTTAAATTAATGAAAATAATTAATTCCATTTTCCACCGTGCCATACACGTAGACCAAATTAAACGCGGCCATTTGCGACTGTTTGTCCAGTCAGCAGGCGTTATGTTTTCAGTTATATTAATGGACGGAATGGCTATTTCTGTGTATTTCTCAGAATCTGGCTATATTTGTCACAAAGTGCAAAGTTATGGCTATGAAAGTGAATTTTGTCTAAAATTTTCTAACATACCTTGCAGACTATGGCCACAACTTGCCTTCGGGCTTTTCACTGTCTTTCGAACTCTAATCCTGTTTTATACCATTTGCTATTGAATGACTGTCAAGCATAGTTAGTTAAATATGGTATGAGTAAGTTATGTATAAAATAAGTAAGGAAATCTTATTTCATTGTAAATTGATGGTACATTTAGTAGTGTGTCAATATCATAAAATATATGAAATTAATTATTTAAATATATATATATATATATAATGTTCAAATTATCATTTTTATTCATTAAACACGAATATTAAACGTGTTAAACGAGTTTTATACGTGTTTAGTGTGTGAGCAATCAAATAATTGGGGAAAAGTTAAACAATTTGATAATAATATAGAAACGTAGGTTTAAAAGGCATAAAATAAATAAGTTAATATATACATGTATAAAATAGAGTATTTTAACAACTATAATGTCAAGGACTCAAGAGCTCTTAGAGTTCCATTTATTAAAAAGAATCCTTAACAATGGCGCCGATTCATATGAGTAAGTTTATATAGAAACAACATTATTGTTATATTTTATTTCTACTTTGGTATTATTTTTGTTTGATTTTTTTTTGGAAAAATCAATTTTGACAATAAGGAGGACAGTTAGTTTATAGGGAAATTGGAAAACTTATGGTAAAACATTTATCACTTTCCAAAAGACCCAATGATAAATATGGTATTGCCAGATTTTCGGTCCGTTCCTCCTCCTATATAAACAAAGAACAGGATGTCCTTTGAATCACATAAATTACCGTTTCAAATCTCATAGAGAAGAAAAGAGTTCATACGTTCATCTAGTGACAATCCACATCCAAATATAATGGAGAAGGCTTATTTCAAGGTGTTGTTCTGCATTGCGCTCTTAACTTTCGTCGTTTTTTGTAAGTATATTTTTGTTGGTGTGTATGATTGCACATAAATTTACAAATTGTAATATTGTTTTTCATTAATAAAATGAATAGATTATTTTTTTAGCTAACGAGTTTCATTATCATTGAACAAATTGGATATTACAGGTGGGAACAAGAATCGTATTGGAGCAGAAGGTAGATACCTAAGCAAACCGTGCCAAAGTCAAGATGATTGTACTTCGTGGGGCCCTCAATGCCACTGTGACTTGGGACTCCATATGTGTGTGTGCAATGTACCACCAAGTGGAAGATCTCCTCTAAAGTCCTTGGGACTTGAAGAAGGATATTGAAAGAAACATGGATTTCATATGAATAAAACATTGAGAAGGAAGAATAAGTGTTGAAGTGCAATTTTCATTTCAAGACAATAAAAATTTGCACAAAGTTGAATCTGATTGCTCTGCTTATGCTTTCAAAGTTGTTCGAATATTTTGCATAGTCCTTTACTTCCACTTTAACATCCTTTTGCCACATCATTGACAAACCTCCTGCCCTTCCTTTATATCCCACTCCCCAACCCTTATCCCATCCGAGCTCTTTAATCACTTCTTCCCGTTCATGTTGTTGTTTCTTGGGAAAATACACTTGTATGACCATAACTTTTACGTTTGTGACAAATATAGTCATAACAATCGGTAAACATAAAATAGTCACTTCCGTCCATTTTTTTAACGGTGTTAGTTAGCGGTATGACTAGACTTACGAAAATGTTGACCTTACGACATTTTCTCAGTAAGAGTCCACATGGATTAAAGAAAGAAAAAACAATTAGATTCCACGTGGATTAAGGAGAAAACCAAAAATGGAATTAAAAAGAAAAACTAAAAATGGTCATTTATTCAATACTCATCTCTTCGTCTTCCACTTTCTTCTCCTATTCTTTCAATACAAGGACTAGATAGTGTGACAACACTCCTTGTGTTGTTATTGTAACAACACTAGTCTCCAACCAATAGGAAGATAGGGTTGTGATGACTTTTTATTAGCTGAATTGACCTAGTGTAAATCAAAGCAGGGATATAATTGTCATTATGAAAAATATATTGAAATAATAATAAAAAAATAAAAAATAATTTTCTGCCCAAAATTTTGGTCGCCGGAATTCGGCCACTGGTCGTCGGTCACCGGAATATGCTATTTTATCGTCGGAATATGCTCACCATCGCCAGAATATGCTCACCGTGGTCAGAATATGCTTACTGGCGTCGGAATCTAGTCATCGGGGCCAGAATATGCCTATCGGGCGTCGAACTTTGCTCACCGACGGTCATCGGAGTTTGGTCAACGAACTTCGTTGACCCGTCAACGACCACCGGATGTTATGGTCAGCATTGTGAGATTTATGGTTTGGTTTCTCATATTTTTGTGTGCCTTTTGTGGTTTGCTTTATCGTGTTTGTGGTTTGCATTAAGAAGTTTCTGTTTTACTTTCGAAAATTTTGTGGTTTGCATTGTGAGGTTTCTGGTTTGTTTTAATATATTTGTGGTTTGCATTAGAAGGTTTCTGGTTTGTTTTTGTGGTTTGCATGAGAAGGTTTCTGGTGAACTTTTGAAACTTTTGTGGTTTGCTTTGCGAGATTTGTGGTTTGGTTTAATAGATTTGTGGTCTACATTAGGACGTTTCTGGTTTGCTTTGTGTGGTTTGCTTTACCGTGTTTGTGGTTTGCATTAGGGGGGTTCTGGTGTGCTTTTCGAAATATTTGTGGTTTGCTTTCTGCGATTTCTGGTTTGTTTTAGAGGATTTGTGGTTTGGATTATGAGGTTTTTGGTGCTTTTTTGGCTTATTTTATTATGTTTGTGGTTTGTTTTCTTGTGTTTCTGGTATGTTTTTCGAGACTTGTGCTTTGCATTTGAAGGTTTCTGATAAGCATTTTATAGTTTGTTTTACCATGTTTGTTGTTTATATTAGAAAGTCTTTGGTGTGCTTATGAGATACTTGTGATCTTCATACCAATAACTCCTAAATACATATCATAAACACAATAATATATACCAAAACACTAAAAAACATACAAAAACCATATAAAAACCTCAAAATTCATGGATATTGGATGATTAGGATCTAAATATTTAAATATTAATTAGAAAACAAAATTAAACACATAGGGCTATAAACATTCCGCCTGTCCACTCTGCTTCTCCCTCAAGATACCAACCCTAGTATCTTCTACTACTAGTACTACTTCTTCTGCTCCAATTTCCAGGTCGGCTCTCTCTCTCTCTCCCTGTTTATACATAGCTCGTGTTTATGATTCCTACTATACAATCAAGTTGGCATTGGTGTAACTTGTGATTGATCACCTGAATGATCCTTTTGCTTTTACTATTCTTATGGCTATGGCTGATCTTCCATGAAGAGGAAGACTAATCTTGCTTCTAGTTTTAACCAATCAAAAACCACCCACGATTTTTCTTAGCCATTGCTGAATTGGGTTCGCTTCTGTTCCCTCTCTAACTTGACCTACCTTGAACTGATCAAATCCTGTGCGCTACTTGATTATCCCTCTCCTCCTCGTCCACCATGGTCGTACCTTCGACCGGAATCTCCGCATGTCAGTCATCGGCAGCACCTTCACAACCCTCCACCACGATTTCTCGTTGCCGGTCACCGTATTCTATGCCCGACTACATTCCCCCTCTATCCTCGGTTCCTGCAACAGCCTACTCTGCATCAAATTCACCGCAATTTCATACTCTGGAATCCCCCCACCAAGCAATTCGTCCTGCTACCCATTTTCAACGACCTCACCACATCTCCGTCAACTCGCAGGCCGAAAGGCCAATTCATTTGCGAGAGATTCGGGTTCGTGTCCACCCAGATCTGATGATGATTGCGCCTTTGAAATCGATGGATTGGCGTCGCTGTCGATGCCGGAAGGAGGAGAAATGACATGGATGGAGGGGATTGAGGGATGGCGGAGGAGGATTGCTTGCCCGAACGTTCGGATTTATTGTTAGTTTACCATTTTGTCCTTAATGAATCATGTTGTTATTATAACAACACAAAGGGTGTTATTCTATTCTCACCCTTCAATGAACGAACCAAAAATCCCCCAACCCCCCCCCCCCCCCCCAAAAAAACTCTTAATCTTCAACCAACACCCGTAATTCAGAAACCCAATCGAATTAAAAATCTCCAATTCAAAAAAATTCGCCTTCCTTATTGTTTCAAAAGCACACAGATTCGTATATGAGGAAGAGCATCCAGCGAGATTTGGTCTAGATTTATATTCTACTCACAAAAACTCAATGGTAGAAAAATATTGCTCTTGTCGAAGGAAACCACTGGTTGCCGGCGATGGATCTTGATATGTTCATCAGAAAGTCTCGATCTGCGAAAGGATTTAGTTTCCGTCGGTGGTGTGTGTGGAATTGCAGCTAGGCGGCAGCGTTGACGACGTCGATTGCGGGAGGGAATCTGGCCGGGCTGGGGAAGGCTCTTTCGTCGGACAAGATCGTGGAGCCGAAGAGGGCTCCGATGATTTCGGGGATGGAGGTTGGGGAGTTCATGTGGACGATTAGCGAGGCGAGGCTGACGACGGTGGCGGTGGTGGGAGGGGAGGAAAGAGGGGAAGAGGTCGAGAAGAGGATGGTGGAGGCTTTCCGGAGAGAAGGGAACTTGGAATCGGTTGCTATGGAGAAGCGGTTGGATCGAATTGATCCCCAGCCCCGCCAATTGAAATGGATCTCTCGATACCCTAATCGAGTTGGGGATGAGGTAGGATAGAGGGAGAACGAAGGGGATAAGATCAAGTGACTAAGGGGGTCCCCTTAGTCAGATGACTAAACCAATCTCAGCCATCTAGCCTCATTAAAATCTAATAGTTCTAATTTATCTAGTTTGATGAAGAACAAGGTTGTAATTACATATTTTATTTATTTAACAATTAAAGTAAAATAATAAAAAAATATTCTACCATCCTTCCGCCTCCCGCCGCAGTCCTTTTTGGGAATTCTTCTGGCGGTGGACTGGCAGTGCGATCCTCTCCTTCCCGCGGCGTGGTCCTCTCCCCATAGCTCCCGCCGGTGAGGGGGATTTTTATTCCCAACAAAGAGCTCTCGTGGGTATTTGGCTCCCGAGAGAGAGAGAGAGAGAGAGAAGAGAGAGAGAGAGAGAGAGAGAGAGAGAGAGAGAGAGAGAGAGAATTTCTACTCACCGGAGGAGACTTTTCCGACGACCAGAGGAGACTTTCCGGTGACAGTGCTAGATTTGTGATGTTTGTCGACCTATTTTGTAATGCTTGTATAGATTCGGTTTGTATTGTTTATCATTCTTGGTTGTCATTTTTAGTGACATTTTGTACGGTTAGTATGTTTTGTACTGTTTTTCGGTTTATTTTGTAATGTTTGTACGCTTTGTTATTTTGTAATGTTTTTCGGTTTCTTTTGTAATGTTTGTAAACTTTTTATTTTTGTGCACCATGTTTATCATTTTTGTCAACCATGTTTGTAATGTTTTTTTATGTCTAAGAAACAATCTGGTTGACTTTTGGATGAAACTCCTCTATATATGGATGAAACCTCCAAAGTCAACCCGGGTATTTTTTTACAGTTTGTATGGATTGTCGGTCTAGTTTGTCATTTTTATTCACCATGTTCATAATGTTTGTATGTCTAAAAAACAATCGGGTTGACTTTGAGATAGAGCCTTCTATATAGGGATGGAGCCTCCAAAGTCAACCCGGTTGCCTTTTCTTTTTTGTATGGTTTGTATTGTTTGTCGGTCTAGTTTGTATTGTTTGTACAGTTCATGCGTTTGTAATGTTTGTAAATTTGTTTGTATGTTTTGTCGTTGTAGTTTGTACTGTTTGTATGATTTGTATTGATTGTAAGTCCGGTTTGTATACTTCGTAATTTTCTATAATACCCAAACTACCCCTTTCATTAATTAAATAGCCCTTCCCACTTTTTAACCGTCAGATTGGTGTGTTCAGATCTAAGGGCTGGGAGGGGCTTAGCCAAGTGACTAAGCACCCCCTTTGTCATGGGTTTGTCATGGGATCCGCACTCAAACGAAGGTCGACGGGAATAAGAGGATAAATAGAAAAAATTATTTTATTTTTAAATAATTGATGATGTGGCATCTACATGTAAAGTTATGTTGATTTGTAGCTTATGTGGACGATGAGTTGGATACTAATCAGCATTCCGTCACATAATTTGACGGCATCCAAAATGCTGTTAATGTTTCTAACCGATTTTGCTAAATTTGTCACACTAACTTCTAAATTTTGTTTGTAAAAAAAAAACTTCTAAATTTTTAGCTATTTTGTGTGTCTCTGAAAGTTATAACTATATTTATCACAAATATGAAAGTTATAACTATACAGATGTATTTTGTCTTGTTTCTTTATAAACATCAGGAAGACAATGCTAGGAGTTTTTCTTTGCCCCACCTTTCTAATTGCCAGGGGACTGCCCAACGGCTTAGGATATGGTCAGTAATCATTGGTTACTGACCTATGAGTAACTAAATCTGGACCTTTAGATCTAAGTGGTCCCAGAAAATCCAGATCTAATAGTTGTCAATTAAAGACATTTTATTTTTCCTAGTTTTCATAATCGGCTCTTATCTTCTTTGTTTTAACTCGGATTTCAATTTTTTTTGCACACATGGAACGAGTTTGTTGTGCTCTACAAAATGAGATCAATTTTCAATATATTTCGAGAAACTTTTTTTTACCAACTACATACCATATTAGTTTTTATTATTATTAGATATATAATTAGCTTTTTATAAAAGAGATGGAAATATATCTAATTTATCCACAAACTACATACCATATTAGTTTTTTGTTACTTTTTATTATTATTTTATTAGATAAAAGAAATAAGAAAATAATTTGTAATTTGAATTTTTTATTTATTTGTCATTGACGTGACAATGAGTTGGAGCATTGACCTTTAATCAATGGTGTTAACTGTCCAAATTGACGTTCAAAACACGTGTCCGGCCAAGTTAGAATATATGATATATAGTTGAGATCATGATGACAAATTGACAATTTCTGAACCCACATGCCAAAGTTGATTATATAGGTATATTTCAGGTCAAAATAAAGTATAAACCAAGGATAAAAGTATCGTACCGTAACGACAGTTCGACCTGAAAAACCTACTATCAGAAGCAAAATCGGTACACGATATTTAGCGGTATAATACGGTTGAACCATAATTAAACCATGATTTTAGCTTAAAATACACTACCGCTAATAAAACATGTGATACGATACTTCAATCCTTAGTATAAACCCAAAAACTAAACATCTTTATTTTCAAATCCAACAAACAAACCAACCATTCATTCGCCAACAAACAAACCAACCATTCATTCGCGTTTTGTGTCTAGTTTAATCGTCTCGTCGCAGGAAACCTAGCCGCCATCACCCTCCCTTACCGAGGTATTCCGGCGACGAATTCCGTACAGCCTTACAACGACCTGCCGCCCTCCTCCACCAACTACTTTAAACGCCTCCGACTGTCATCAGGCCAGCTGTATAGTTCGGACTTCGGACTCTGCAAATTCTGTTCTGAGTTCCCCCTCTGTTTCTTTTTCCTTCTTTTCCAATCAATTTCGGTGGTTTAAGGTAAGAGTTCTCGTTCAGTTGTGTGGATTGGGAAAAAAATTTCAGGTTAAGATTCGAACTTTAGAGTTTTTTTATAATATTGGGGTTTGAAATTCTTGATTAGACTTGCATTCGCCGATGGACGGTGAGGAGGTGCCGGGTTACCAGCCCGACGACGGCTTCGAACAAGATACAAGAGAGCCACTTCTTGATCTTACCGGTGCTCGCTCTAGTTCTAAAGAGCTTTGGCTTATCCAATGGCCGCCCCATGACGTACTTTTCCCCTCTTCTTCCCCTGCTTTTCTTCCTTCCTTTTCCTGGTTCAATCAGTACGGGTTCGGGTATAATTTGCAGTTTTCTCGTGTGTGTGTGTGTGTGTATATTGTAGCTTCCTGATATCCACGGCAAGGAAGTATGCATTACTTTCGATCGCAATGGTAGCTCGGGAAGCTTCGAGGATCTTTCAGGTTTTCCATCCATCCTTGAGACTATGTGCTCCTTCAGCTCTGCCTCCCAAGTTGTTGGGTTCCATTGTTGAAGTTGCTCCTTTCTGCACCTATGTCTGGCAGGGAAAAAGTATGATATAGTCGGCACCGATGTAGAGCGAGATGCTGCAGTCTTCATGTCATCTGTTTCAGAAACTGAGATTGGTAACCCTTCCCTTTGTTCACTGTGTTTGACATTCATTGGATTGCTTCCTCTGCTATGCACGATGGGATTTAGACAACTGTTTGTATTTGTCTTTGGTGACTGGCTGGTTGGTACAGTTTAGTGTAGTATGTATCTTGCATAGAGTAGGGTGAAGAATGAATGAATGAATCATATGCAATGCCCTCTTTGTGATTGGAAAATTATCACCATTTAGTAGTCAATCAAGACCTGGAGGACATTAAGAATGAAGGTCAGGTTGTAAAAGAAAATGATTATGAGGACAAATGATCCCTCTTCAAGCCTCTATTGAACAACATTTCGCTCGACCCGGTCCTTAGTATCGTTGACAAACGAGAATCTGCTAGCTACACTTTTCGTTGACGGTTTCTTTTCGACCTATCTTTCGTCGTTGAGATATGGCTGCTCCAATTGAAATTAACATCTTCTTTGTTGAGCAAGGCAAAGAATAGAGGAACTAGATAGAAAGAGAGAGATGGCGAGTGAGAAGCTTAGTTATTTCTAGTGTTTATTGCACATTTCGCCGGTTCATTGCTGAGCTTAGAGAAACAGTATCTCGTATGATATACTGTTTTATCACGGCTTTTATCTGCATTAACCTTGTTGTCGGAGTTGTCACTATTTAAAGTCGTCCACACTGTCCCCCCAGGATAAAGAAAACTATTATCTGTAACCTTTGGTTTGAAGCGTTCTCCTGATAGCACTTGCTTTGATTGAACAGTTGGGAATATTTCTCACCGAATATCCCTGGTGCATTTTCCTGACCCAAAGGAAATCGAGCAGAGAGTTGCTGAGAAGACGTCAAAAAGGCTGTATCAGATGACGTCGTCAAAGAACAATTCTTCACACCATTCTTCAGGTGTTACTGGAAGTAGTAGGCTGAAGAACTCAACTTCATCAAGGGGACCTGCAGCCTCAACTCATACGAGCAGGGAAGGGCCGAGCGCTTCTAAGAGAAGGCACGTTCAGAAGAGCCCTGGATCTAAAGGTGGACCTTCTCTCGACTCCAAACGCCGTCAGAGTTCGTCCAACTACATTTCTGGGACATCAGAACGATGAAGCTAAATCATTGGCAGGTAAGAGAGTGGAGTTTAGGGTTTTGAGCTACTGTTTGCTTGATGCAAAAATCTTGTGCATTTCCGAATCATGAAGAGAAGTGATGAGCATTTTGTTTGTTATTGGTGTTTACGTTAGTTAAGTGATTTAGAAAGCTAGATCTTTTATGGATGGATGATGATCCTCTTTTGGAAGTGGTGAATGCATTGTTCTTCCCGTACTTGGATAATTTGTGATCTGAAGCTACTTGAACAAACTCATGCACAAAATGAAACCAGGATACAAACACAAAGAATATACGACCTGCAATGCAACCATAATTACTACTTCACTTGTTAGATCAGCCATTGCAACATACATTTTTATGTACACAAGTGTTCAAGACTGGATGACACATTGCTGGCTTGGGCATGCAGTTTACCGGCTGCAACAAAGGCTAGCTAGTCAGTAGTAGGCCAGTAGCAGCATTTTGGGTGTACTGTTTTCGAGCTCGGATAAACGACGTACAACATCTTGCATTTGATGCCTCGTGGAGGTGGAATGATTACCACGCTAGTCTGCCTCCAGTCACCATTAATATTGCTTGCAAACGTCGTGGCTGCCAGCAGATTATGCCACGGATCCATGATTTCTCCACTAGCCATGCTCCCTCACTGGTTGGTAAAATCATCAAATGTGGAAGCATGCGATAGTCTTATTTATAGCATCTCAGATTCTGTAATATAGTTATTTCAATTGATGAGTGAAAGAAAGCAAGATCCCAACTGCCTATGTAGCCGACAAGTATGTTCTCAAACTGCTGAGGAATTTGAGCATTGAGTGAAACTGAAACCACCTTCCTTGTTTGGTGAATCAGTGGAAAGATGGCATCATTCAGCTTAGAACACAACATCAAAAGCATATGCCAGGGGCAACTGATCATCATCAGTGAAAATAACCCATGCATGTACAAGAAAAGACTCTTTGAGAGTTTGATCTGGGAAGTCGTCTTGTAATCACCAAAAAGCAACAGCGAGACGTTAACCATTTGATAAACAAAATGTACAAATTCTCTCAAAAGTGCTTCTCCATTCTTTTCAACATCTCAAGCTTCCCAGTAAATGAACTCGGTTTACAAAAGAATGATCAGATTGTTGTTCCTCTGCGAGGCTTGTTGCACTCTAATACAAAGGGATAACAGTCGTCGATTGATCAGTTCTCTAGTGTGATATACATATGCAATTCGAGCTTTGGTGAAGCAGCGCCTGCTCAGAGTAAGAATGCAAACAATGCCTGGAAAATGGACCTTGCCCGTGGGCGTTTCCTTGGACTGTCTTTGTTTTCGGCTAATAGGCCTCTGTACTCAACTCCCTGTCTTCCCTGACAAGAGCAAATGAGGGCATAAACATGAGAAGTAACAAAACTATTTGGCCCGTTGATGTTACTTTCAGGCATAACACAGAATCAAAATCGGTTCAGTTTATTACTGCAAGTCTAATCTTAACCTGAGCAGCATCCTTGAGGGGTCCCCAACATTCCATTCGATTGTATTTCGGCAAGCTAGAATGGAAATACACCCAAACTAAAGCATCATTTAGCTCCGGATTTGCCTGAAAGAGCTCTGCATCGCCATATAACAAAGCTTGAAGTACCTGCCATTTGCAAATACAAAACAGGTTCGCGTTAAAATCTGAAGCAGAGACAAAACATGGAACGCGTACATACTGTTCCTTTCCAAACTTCCCCCACAACAGAAGGCATTGTACATTGTGACAAAACTATGGTATTAGAAGCTAGAAAAGTGTTTTTTATCTAGCAAAAGCTCGCCTCTCCAAATGAATAGCTAAGGATGCAGGGAGAAACATACTAGAGGCATTTCTTTGGCGAAAATGTGATATCTAAGCTCGGCAGCAAGGTCGAAAGTGAGATTCGGACCACTGACATAACAGTGAATGTGCAGACACAACTGCCCTTCCAATTTCTTCCATTCAGCAACCACGTCGTCCTTGCTATACCAGCCACTTAGCTGTCCACGAACAACTCGAGTAAGTTCACTTCAGCATATACCCTTCGTCATCCTATGGTTCAAAACTTGTAGCAAAACCATTCATTCACTCGAGAAGAAGAAGAAGCCTATTTCAGTTACCTGGTCCAAGTTGATGACACTGGAAATGGTCAAGGTTAAGTTTGCAGTGAAGTCACAGTGAGACAGAATGTAAGTTCTAGGGATGATTCTTGAGTAGTCATTGTCCCTTCCTACCAACACTACTTTGAGCTTTGAAGCATCGAATCTAGCCGGAGGACCCAGAAGCCTGACTGCCTAGCAACACACCCCAATCCGGCAGTTAGTAAGTATACCCTAATAAAAGCTTTGACCTTTAAGGAAACCCAGATGCGAAATTTTGACACTGACAGGGAAATTCAGAAGAATCGGCTTACACAAAATGGACCCAGAAAGATGAACCAGAAAGCCGAAAGTACCTCTGAGACGAGACCGTTGTGAGAAGATCTGGTGGTGCTGGCGTTAATGGAGGAGAAAGCGAGAGGAAAGAAGCTCAATTTACGAATCCTAAAGGGACTAGGACTGTGATTGGTGGGGAACGAAGAAGAGGATGGAGAAGGAGCAAAGAAGGCAGAATGACATGCCATGAGAGAGGCATAACAAGCTCTTCCCCGTAGTCTTCTTCATCTTTGGCTCCTCATCGTCACAATCATTGTTCCTTATTCTTCTTCTTCTTCTTCTTGATCGTTTTTTGGCCTTCGAAATGGATTTTGGTTGGATTGGAAGGAAGAGGGAAAACTACAGAAGTATGTGGTGAACAAAGGTCTACGGTAGCTGTAAGAGGCCTGTGGTGGGACTCTGCTTGTGGTGACATCTCCAATTTTTTTTTTTTTCATTGGTGTTGTTTGGAGACGTCGAAGCGACTGGGCCGGGCAACCCAAGGGCGAGAGACACGTCAGGATATCTGATTGATTTACTGATAAGTTTCGGATAATGTGGTTGTAGTGGCATCTTCCCATTCCCAACTCCCTGCTCTACCTCACGAGTCACGATGGCAATGGGTCAGGATTGAGTTGAGTTGGGTCAAATTCAAATCCAAACTCATGAGTTTATCTCTTAAACAAATTCAGGGTAAAATTTATTGGGTTTGAAAAACTCAAATCAAACTCAATCCGTTGGATATCCGCGGGTTTAATGGTACTCATGGATTTTTGTCGAAAAAATTTACAATAACAAGTTCCTATCAAAATAAAAGTCAAATATTAATCTCTAAATATAGATTATCCATATATAAAACACCATTATAGAAAATTCACACAAAGCACAAATTAATCATACAAATAGTTCAACACCAATCTAGAAAACTCAAGAAAAGTGAAGCAAATTACAAATTATCCATAAACAAAATGATTAATTGAAAGTTTTTTCATCCTAGTCAATTAAGCTTCTTCACTCTCCACTCGATAATATCAACTTCATTCTACACAATTAGAAAGAAAAAACCCGGCCAAAAACTCGAACCCGGCCAAAACTCGTCAACACGGGTTTTACCCGCGTTGACTGGGTTGGGTCGGGTAGGGTACCCGTGGGTTCGGGTTTTATTGTCATCTCTAGTCACGACGCAAAATAACAAGGAAAAAGTGCAAAATTGCGCGAAGTCGAACGACACAATGTGATTACGATGAAAGTTATCAAGCCTATATTCAGCCAGCCGGTTCAATCGGGTCCGACTGGAATCGGTAGGGGTGGTAAATGGTTAGTCAGTTATCGATAACCAAAACGACAATAACTGTTATTAGCAGTTATCGATTAATAATATTTTACTAAGTGGTTAATCGATAAGAAAGTCAATAACCGCCTACTAGTATAAACACATAATTTTAGTCTTTGGCTAATAAAAAAGTTTCAAGGTTTAAAACCAACCAAAGTCGCAATTCTAGACATCGCAATTTCCAATTATTGCAAACAAGTGAACAACCCTCCACCTAAAGTCTTAAATGTGTTTAAGAGTCAGAACCCAAAAACCATCATCTTCGACTCCTCTTTGCAATCGACAGAGCGAACATCGCACCAAAGTAGTGTTTGTTTCTTTGATGTTTGTGGATAATGATGATCCTGTGGTTCTTGTGTTTGATGTCTTGGTATTGGTATTCACTAATTAGATGAAGTGATTTGATTATTTTTAATTTAGTGTGTTGGAGTTTGGATTTGGAATATGATTTCAAGATGGATGTTGTATTTATATTATTTCTTATCGTTAGTATTTTATGTTAATAATGTAGAAGTGTAGTTAAATTGTTTTGCATGTGTTTATGATTAAATGACACTTGTCAAACATAATTGGGTGATGACGTGTGTATTTCAAGTGGTTATTTTTCGCTTTAATTATTGGTTTGATTAGGTATAATCGTACTCGTTGGAGCGTATATTAGCGATTATTGGTTAACCACCAACCTAAACCGCTTACTGTATCGATAAGAGACGGTAACAATAAGACTTATTGTTTCCATTATCAGTATGAGTATTTTGCTCATTGGTTAACCATTAACCGTCATATCGGTTAGTGGTTAATCGATACCAAACCGATTACCACCCTAGGAACATGTAGTCTAAACAGTTTGAATACCGTACGGTTGGATGGTTCTGGACAAAAAGTCACAACAGAGTTAAACCCATCAAAATTGGGGTTAAAACTGGTCAAAATAGAGTTTTAAGTTGAGAATTGATAATTTTGTAATATATATTTATTTTAAAGGAATATTTTGGTAATATATGAATGTAGATTAATGGGATTTTTTAAAATATGTCAAATTTATGCATAATCTATTAGATATTAGAGATTTTCTCACATATTATGTTAAACCAACTTGAACTAGTTCAACTAGATCAATTCATTAAAACTCAACTCACTTGTCTGACTGACTTGATGGTATAATCCAGTTTGACAACCTTGATTACAATTCCAATTGCTTGTCAGATGTACTAACTACCATGATAACAAGGTTGCTCATTTTGTGGCAAAACAAACTCTCATATCTATCTATTAAGAATATCTTTACGGAAAAAAAGTGTTGTGTGATTGGTTTGTTGATGACTCCAAAATTAAGTGACCATTTTAATACTTGGACACAATTTTGAAATCATTGTCCAATTCCGAACATGCCCTTCAAGGGTTTAGCCACATTGGTAGCCGGCAGGGTTTTCGCGAGTTAATAAAACACAGGCAGGCAATCCTGGAAAGAACCCCGCCGCTCGCTGGTAGATATTCCGTAACTATCGTCGCCGGCGCTTACCTCCGACCGACTGCCGCCCCGCTACTAGCTTTGCCTCCTGCCACGGCCGTGTTGATAATCGTCGCTGATTAGCCATTGCTTGGCCGCTATTGCCACCGTTAGTCCACAGGAAACGAGGAAGAAAAATTAAAGCCCGAGTGCATATTACTCTGTAACTATCTCACCTTCCTCTCCCTGCCTCTCTCTGACTTACTGCCATATATACGCATACCTCTCTCTTGCAGTCTTGCTTAATTCTCAGAGATGAGCTAGGGCAAGAATAGTGGAGTAGGAAAATTGGCGAATTTATACCATCATTAGTGTTCCTTTGTGAAAGTCCATGGGATGACATTAGCTTTTCCAGGTTCTTTTTTCCACTGCGAGAGGCAATGTAATTCGAGCTGATAGTTTCAATTTGAGGTTGGAGCTCTAATTGACATTGCTGGCATCTGTTCAATTTTCAGTCGCCATGAAGTTTGCGGTGAAGACATGGAGCAATGGTAAGGCACGAGCTGGGCAACTTCAACTGGGAAGCTGTCCTTCCCCAATGGAAACGCCTGCTCTTCTCCTTTCTACTCGTAAAGGGCTGCCTCTATTTATCTCGCCTGACCTCCTTCCTGATTTGCCTTATCCGGACTCTGCTCTTCTCCATGTTAGCCCGCTGCACTTGTAAGCTTCTCATTCTCTGTTCCTTTCTTGGGTTGTTTTGAGTTTTGACCCTGATTATGAGGCCTTTTATTATGTTGTTGAGTTATGGAGGTGATTATTGAATGGATGGAAGATGCTTGTCTTAGTGACGGCACCAAAATGATTGTGAAACTGGTGCTTTAGAGAGATGCAATTTTTGTGCGGTTTTAGTGCACCAGAGTAAAGATTGCAACTTTTTGAGCTTTCCAGTCATGATTGTGATACATTATCAACTGTAGGTGGAGTTCTGTTAGTTTTACGTTGTTCCATGTGTTGCTGAGTGAAAAGAATCATATTGTTTCTGCTCGAAATTGCCTCATTTTGTGTCTCGTCAGGTCATCGCGATAGAGGCTAAGAGTGTGATCAATTAGTATATGTAGTGTTGTATAAATAATCATGATGGTGTGTGTTAGATATTTTACCAGTTAATTAGATATCGTCTCTGCTATAATTTACCAAAACAAAAATTCTCTGCTACTATAATGTGCTAATGGAGATCAGCTTGGGCTGGTTTTTATCAGCCGAAACAAGATGATAATTTGGCTTCTTGTATTGATGACACACTTTATTTCTTGATGGTGCATAACTAATGGTAAATAAGTTGTGGATGATGAAGGGGTCCATCTTTTGATTTTTTGCAGTGTGGAAACCATGTCACCAAATATCATATCAAAGCTTGGAGGACTAAACCAAATGCTTGGATTGCATAGGCATGCTTTCGCAGCCTTTCCAAGGGATTCTGTTCAGTGCCTTCCTGAGTTCGATAGCAGCAATAAACTAGGAGCATCTTTTGACACACCAAGTGGCCGACGGCTTGTAAATAGTTGAACCTTTTCTGCCACATCTCACATTTATTTCTGTTTGTCTTTGTTTGATTTCTTGCTGATTTCTCTACGATGTTTTCTTAATATCTTCATGCATTTGCAGATTAAACCTGTAGATTATATGGAGCTGATTTGTTCCCTGAAACCAAGTCTGTGGGCCACCTTGGCTGATGAAGTACCCGGGTGGGTGTCTGACCATAGGAACAAGGCTTCTGTTGATAGAACTGTAAAATGGCTCGATGACTGCATCTCGCAAAGCCCGGTATCTTATATTTCATAATTGGTGCTCTTTATTTTTTATGATTGTGATAATTTTAGCTGAACTAGCTACTTTGATGGGCGATGCGACTACTTTATGCTAGTTGGTTTGATCTTGATGGGACTTGCTTAATTTCATGTCATAGTCATATAGCTGTAATTGCTTTAGTTCCATGTTATGGCATTTTGTTTGTAAATAGCTTTTAGTAGTCGTGTCCCTTTCTTCAGAGTGTATCTTTGAGTCGTTTTCTATTGGGGAATAGATAACAATGTGAGCTAAAGTTTATTGTTGCCATGGCTTCCCTTAAGTGGTTTGCATGACTACGTCTGGAATCTAGATTAATGTTCTGTCTCTGAACTATTATACTTAGGCGAGTGGAGCGGTTTTTGGAGCTATTGTTGGAGGTTCTGATAAAGAGCAAAGGAAAAGATGTGCACTAGAAGTCTCCAAAAGAAATATATCAGGTTTCGCCATTCTCCCTGGTTGGTTGTCAAGTTTATGTCCGGAAATTTCGGACTTACTGGATAAATTGGCTGACGGGAAATATCAGATATGCACTTAAGAATTTTTAACCCTTTTCTTCTTTCTAATTGTGGAAGTGAGGTGGCTTGAGGCTAAAAATTTGAATATTCCCAACCTCGTATGGTGAAATCTGTACTTGGGCAAGTGTGTGTTATTGGATGTTTGTCTTCACCTTTCATTGTTCTTCTTGAGATGTTGCGAGTTGGCACATATAAGTAGCCTAGGCATAAGGCTGAAATTTCAGGGTTACACTTGAGTGAAATGATCTACTTCTGTCCATGACAATCATTTTGGAAACCTCCAATGTAATATAATTCTCAATTGCAGATCCTTGATTCCAATTTCACCTGGAATGTTGTAGGGTGTCAAAAGGCCAGGTCTAATATATGAAAGTAAGAAAGGAAAATATGTATGTCTACTAAGAAAACTAGGACCCAGTCGGACAATTTGTAATGCCGAGAATCTGCTGCAGACAACAGCATTGAATGCATCTTTTTTTTTTTTTTTTATACTTATTCGACTACACTTTTCACCACATGGACTGATTGCACATCCTCCTTTTAGGTTACTGGATTGGAGGATTCGGTTTTGGAGAGAGCATGGATGATCGCCCAGCTTTGCTTAATGAAGTAACTGTGAGAAAGCTAACTATGATACTCGAAGTTTCTCATTTTAAGTCAAGTTAATAGAGTTGTGGGCTTATTGTTGTTGACTAGCACAGTACAATATACAAGTTTCTACATATCTGTTGGTAGTATTTTGAGTTCTGATGCTACAGAGGGTTTAACAGGACCATCTACCTGGAGAAAGGCCTCGTCTCATCTCTGGTCTTGGGTTGCCAGGTATCTTTTTGAAAATTTTGACATGAATTTATATCCCAAGATTTTTATTTATTTTCCTTTTCATCAAGCTTTCAGTTCTTAGGTGTGAGATGGTGAAACATTAAGATCAGCTTGGCTTCCGGATCACCTAAAGTTCGGACTGTCAGTCAAATATGTAATGCCATGCATCTTTTCTTTTCTAGAGTTCTCAGATCGAGGGTAGTGTTATTAGTACCCTGTATTGTACAAGAGTCAATTCTGCCACTCTGAAGTTCTTGGAACATCAATGTTCAAAGTATTAGAGTTCTTGCAATAGCTGGGAAATGGCATAAGCTATTAAAGGTTAAGAAAATCTGCATCTTTATCCATTCTCTCACAAAAGAGAACAAACTTTACTGTATTGATTGGAGAAGGGACATGGATATCGATGAGAAAAGATAAGAGTTACCTTATGGAGGGTTTTTTGTTTTAGAATTTGCAGAATCATTTGGACTACTGCAATTTGTCTCCACTAGTCGATAACTCGATATGCATTGATACAGACCTCTGAGACAATTGGTCTGTGCATTAACTTGATTTGGTTTCGAACATGACGTGTCAATGATACTTACTATTAATCTTCTGTTTTGTTGGACTTTTGGGTGTATTACTGAAGCTTTATTTTCTTCCAACTTTCTTTCTATGCTAGAGGAGGTGTTGCAGGGTGTTGCTGCTGGAATTGATCTGTTTGACTCATCGTAAGCTGCTTGAACTTATTCCCCTTAAATGTTTGTTAGTTAGCTTTCCAGCATCCACTTACTCTCGCTCGAACATTCCAGGTATATCTACCATCTCACGCTTGGCGGGTTTGCACTGACCTTCCCATTGGACCTACTTAATTTAGCTGAAGAATTTCCTGAGAAAACTATGGGGATTGATCAGAGCAAGATTAATTTGAAAGCAACTGTCTACAGGTTATTCATCTTTACTTCAACAATGTCACTCTAGCAATGTCCACTAGGTATTTTGCATTTCATCCTAACTTTGAGCAAAATCAGCAGAAGTTTGGTCAGTATTGGATGCCATTTGATAAACCAAAACAGTCTGATAAGAAAATTGTGTTAAAATCCCACCATGAAAGACAGATGCAACAGTTTGTTGTGACAACTTTCATGTCTTTTTTCCAGGAAGGACACAGGCCCGATTGTAGAAGGCTGCGTATGCTACACTTGTCGGAATCACACGAGAGCTTACATCAATCACCTTCTGAATGTCCATGAAATGCTGGCTCAGATTTTGCTTGAAATGTATGGCCAATATACTGCATTCGGTTGCTGTCCTGTTCGCAAGTCTAACGGCTGCTTCAATGATGATGATGATGGTTTTTTTTTACTAATAAGTCATTTCGACTTTGTCCCTGTTTGTTGCAGACACAACACACATCACTATCTTGGATTCTTCCAGGCCATCAGAAGTGCAATCAAGGAAGACAAGTTCGAGCGATTTTGCGACATGTTTCTCCAGAAGCGACGTGATCATCTTACTGCTGCTGTAGCCGTCGGTGCCTAAGGCAACTTTTCTGGTTCCCAACAGTTATGTAGTTAAGGGGAGGAGTCCCTCCCTCATACGAGCTAAAGGTTATGTGTGTGTATATGAGTATATCGTAGTAGGATTCCTTTTCGAAAGCTGGTTATGCTGTTGTCAGTAGTATTGTACTTTTTATTTTATGGAAAGGCCTTGTAGTCGTATAGCCGTCTAACACAAGTTCCTTTGGAATTCTACTTAGAAGCCCTTCGTATCCATTAATTGTGTGGTAGTGTTAATTAGATTGGGGCAATGTGAAGGTTAAATTTATGGATCGCATGAATGCAAATTAGATAGAAATTTAAAAGTTCAGGGATATTTACAATTGATGTAAAATACAGGGATCTTGAAATACACTTGATAGTGGGGTTCAAATGGTTATCATGCTAATTAATGTAGTCAACAGTGTGCTTTAAGATTTAAAAGCTTACGTTTTTACCGTCGTTATTAGCCGGTTCAATCGGTAGAAACATCAACTGATCCAAATCCAGCTTTGATGTTGCTTATGGCCCCTTAATGAGAGTCGGACGGCTAACAATTAGTTCGATTGGTTAAAAGAGTAATTGCACAAGCCACTCGGCCGACTTTGACTAGTCTGCCCAAAATTTTATGCTTGTTATATAAAAATGTTGGAGTTGGGATTTCAACACACAACATCTTCGTTAAAATAATGAGTTGTTTACTTACTATTCTATGAGCTTTTTTTTAACAGGTTGGATTATATTGCAAATGGGCCAAACCCAAAAGAAAAATGTTTCAACAAGATACATTTGAAGTAAGAAAAGAAAAACCCAAGTCCAAAACCCCAAAACCAGACTCGATACCCAATAGAGCTCAAAATAAAGGAGCCCAAACAAGAGCCCTGCCTCCCACTCATTCCCACGGTGGTTGGTGCCCCTAAAACGCATCTCCCCCCCCCCCCCCCCCCCCAATCGCTAGAAAAAGGCCGATGGAGGCAAGACATGAAGTTGAAGCCACCAACCCGAGCAGAGGAAAGCGAAAACGAGCCATAGTCACATCCGACCGAACCTTGCAAGACCAAAACACCCGTTGTTCCTCGGACCAAGAGCGCTGAAAAAGACTTGAAGTTGCATGGGTGGCCGGTGACGAGGTCGTGAGAAAAACCTTTGTCTCCAATACCTTCAAACCAAGTCCAAGCTAGCGGCCACATCTTCGAATTACCAAGATGTGTAAGGTGAAGCAAAAGAGGTAGACGAAGGTCACGAGGAAGAAGAGACAAGCTGGACAAAGTCCAGCCTCCTTTGCATCCAAAGGGGAAATATATCCCGATATGAAAACTCATATTAGAAGGTCCAAAACTCAACTCACAAAGGGGAGGAAACATATCCACAAAGGAGAGAAAAGGACCAAACCATAGCAAAAAAATAACAAGAAAATCAAAGAAAAAGAAAGCAAAGTGCAAATAAAAAGAGCAACAAAGAAATGGAGTAAAGACAAAAAGACAAAAAGGAAACGGATTGGGCGGTAGCCGGTCACCAGATGGTGCATATGACGCCGACGCCCTTTGAAAAAATAAAGTGGTAGCGTATAGAGAGAAGAGATAAGAAAAAGGACAGAGAACTATCAATTCACATAACTAGTTGTAGCTATAATTACTATGCTACAAGCTTGTTGTTGATCAAGTTTAACCTTTTAAAATATAAAGTAATTAACTCTATACTAATTGTTTAAAAACTTATTTGCAAATTGAAATACTTATAGCAATTATAATAATTTCAAATACTAGTTGTGAACTAAATTTTTTCCTTTTTCCGTACTTAGCCACCAACCACTAATTTATTTATTTTCATTTCTAAAATTTAATTGCTAAAATGAGCCATTATTTTTTAAGTAAGGATTGATTTAAGGATATGATTGATTTTTTTATTTCCACTCCTAAAATTTCACTACTCAAATGAACTCATTTTTATGTTCTTCTATTTATATTATGTTGATTTAGAATTTTAAACTAGTTACTATATATGTCGATAAAAAATATCTGTGTTCATAAGACATCGGTTCATTAATGATTTTTTAACGGTTTAGCACAGTTAGACCACTCAAGCGTGAATCATTTACTATATCGGTTCATACACTAGTTCGGTTCTAACAACATTGGTTTTTACACTTCTGTGTCACCAAAATGTTTCTATGTAGAATCGCGCTTTTCACTTACAAGTGTAGTCAAAATCTACGTTTTAAACCTTACGTTTTTATGTTTCTACATCACCAAAATGCTTCTATGTAGAATTGCAATTTTGACTGCATGGATGATAGTCACTGAACCAATTAAGTCTAAATTCTATTTACCATGGAATATGATATCATAACCAAGCTGGCCAAACTAATACAACAACCAAATTAACTCTTCCATTCAGGGTCCCTAGGATTAGTTAAATCTTCCAAGTTTGGTAACTCTCTATTAGTTTTCGTCTGCCACAGTCAGTGTTTTGCTTAAATGGCTAATAGAAATGTTGATTCAACAAATTTTAACCCGCCACATCATAAAAACCGACCCGCCATGTTATAATACCCGCCACATTAGACCCATTGCATAACCCAACCCAACTCAACCCCCACCTGACTCGAATATGCAGTCAAAATCGTGCTTTAAAACTTAAAAACTTACGGTTTTATGCTTTTAGGTCACCAAAACGCTTTTGTTTCCATATAAAAACTTGAGTGTATAAAATCGGACTAAATTCCGCTTTAAAGCTTAAATGCTTACGCTTTTACGCTTCTAGTTCACCAAAACGTTTTACGCTTTTACGCTTTCAGTTCACTAATGGGTATTCTTTTCATGAAATTAATTATAAAAAATATATTTTAAAAGTAAATCACTAACAATATGATACATTTGAGATTAAAAGATACATACCAGATACTTGGATGCATTCTCAGCTTCAATAGAGTAATCTAATTCACTAGCTAGCCTCTTCCCAAATTCATTAGCATAGAGGAAAAGGTGGCTTATTGTTAACTTATGCATGAATTGCATTTATTTATTAACTTCATCTAAATTTTGTGCATCATATTTTACATAGTATATTTCTTAATATATTTTTAGTTACTTTTCGGTATGCGTAAAAAACGTACGCTTTGATTCAACGCTTTACGATTTTACCCCTTTTCCGCTTCTAGGTAGAATCGCGCTTTTAACTGCATTGGACTCGATACTCTATTCTTAACCCTTCCTCTCTTCATAACGCTACCCAGTTAAACATAAAGTGTTTGTTTACTTCATGGATTTGGACCCAATTAAACGGGTTGTTCAATTTATGGATTTAGTGACTAGTTTGGATCTCAAATTCAATCCATTATGGACTTGTCCTAAAGTCTGTTGTTTGAAAAGCTAATTTTGTTTTACCGTGGTTTAAATTTTTTCTAGCGCTAAAACCGTCTATCTATTCGGATTTGGTATCCGATATTTCAGGTCCTAGTGGCCAATACGGTAGGGTTTCGCAAATTCTATTTTTGAGGGATAAAATCTGTGGGATCCATGAACTTTAAGGGTCTAAATCCGTGGACTCCACGAGCTTGTAAATCCCATAGTTGCAGGTGCGATTTGAGTGAAGGTCGAAAATTCATTACACCCACAAATCTAGTCAAGCATAAGCCACAATAAAATCCAATAAACAAACCATAAACTCTTTCAAATCCATAATGCTAACAAATTCATCATAAATTTAGGTATCGTTTGCTTTTGAGATTTGGGTGATGGATTTGGCACCCAAATTCCAAGCATCAAGGATTTGACATATATCCATTATTTGCTAAGAGACACAAATCTGTAAGACCCACAGATTTGGCCCTTTTCTTTATATTCAAATCCGTGGACACCATGGATTTGCAAATTCCATGTTTCATTTGAGATTTGATAGTGGAAGGCAAATGTACTCTTTCAAATCCATAATGCAACAAATCAATCATATATCCAAAGGTTCTTAAAATCCAAAACTTTCATTTTCAAATCCGACAACCAAACGAGTTTTCCAAAACCCTATTTTTCAAATTCATTAAACAAAATAAATCTTAAACGTGACACCTGAAACTGGAAGGATCAAGGCGCTGAGCAAGACTGACAACAAGCCCAATTAACATACTCAAGATCTTGCCACCTCTTAGCTTCTCTTCTTCATTTATGATTTCTGGTTGTCGACTTGTATATATATTTTTTAAGGGAACCTGGTATCTTTCTTAATCTAAGACAGAGAAGTAAATTCGATTAAGAAAGAGGTGGAAGAGAAAATGGACCAGTTTTCCTATTGGGTGTGAGCAGTTGTGTGCCAGCTTTTACCACTGGGTCGACATCTATAAGATATATGATGGAGATTCATGACTCAACTTTCTTCCATTTCAAATTTTCTGCAACGAGAGTGAAAGTAGGAAGGGTACTTTCGTCATTGCAATTGTTTATTTTTTTATTTGAAAAAAATATCAGTGTCAAGATTTGAACCCGGGTCTCTTCTAACAAGGACAAGAGTCATAACCAATAAGACTAAACAAATTTGTTGCATTTATTTATAAAAAAAACATACAAGAGGCAAAATTCTGAAAATCAAATGACTTTTCCAGCACAGTTAGCTACCCCACTAAGTCTTTCTTAAGCATTTTTAGTGTTGGATCTTTGATTATCATTTATTATTATTTTATTTTGACTTCAATAATAATGGTAGTCTATCTTATAAATGGAGGATAATCTTAAAACCGCAATCCAAATATCATTTATTCGAATATTGCATATCAAATTACAATATTAAATATATATGTGCACACACAACCACATATATATGGGTCAGACTGGTGTACTCCTGGAGTATATTATACTTCAGGTACTCTTCGTGAGATATGTCTATCTAGACCATGATTTTTAACCGAGTTTGGGGTATGATACATCTAATGTCTAGATCATGTGGAGTATACTATACTCTTGGAGTATACCAGTATACTATACTCCTGTAGTATACCAGTATGTGTGTGTGTAGTGTTTTCTATCATATTTTGAGTAAAATCAAAAGGTAACTCATACCCTTGGTAAGAAATGGCAATCTAGACTTTGAATTAACCTGATTTCGAGACGAGACACTATATTCTAACCCTTGACGAGTGAACTCTAGGTCTTAACTATTTAAATCATAGATCCTAAACCAAGGATTATAAAACCTCATCAGAGGTTGTACCGAAAAAGTCGGCAGGAGGGTATTTTATGCGAAAACTGTGGTTAACCGTGATTCAGTCGTTTCACAACACTACATAGTGCCTACTGGTTTAGTCGAACCCCCGGTACGTTAAGGGTTTTCAATCCTTGCCCTAAACACTAAGATTATGCACATAATTTTTTTGATGTATTTTGATCAAACACGACCTTCGATT